AGAAAGAGAGAAAACGGCCCCTAGGTGGGGATGGCCACCCCACAATCCCTTCTTCTCCATTTTCCTCTCCGGATTTTGGGCATGCACAGTGTAATTTTCAAGCTGCCAGGTCCATGACTTGAACTGCTATGTGGGTTGGCTATGTGGGAGTCCAGCACATTGACCATGTCACCTGCTGGCCCCCAAAAGGCATATCTTTACTAGCCAATGGCTCAAGAAAAATTTAGTTAGCTTTGAGAAAAGGCAGAATTTAGCAATAAAAGAATCTCTTCATTTTCCAGACAACTCCTGGCAGCCTATAAACATCTCTTACACATTGTGCCACAGTATGTAGCTCTATCCTGAAAAGCATTCTTATTCTCATAGCTGTGATGAGTGTTGCTGAAAAGTTATAAAATTTGGCAAGATTCCCCGACATGCATTGCATCTGATATCCTGAGTGACTGCTTGGGACAGAGATTATCCTTTGCCATCCAGTCCAGAAAATATGGAAGAAACCCAACACTAATAAGCTTATTCAGCCAGCTACATCCCTACCTCCTGTGCCCTGTAAGGGCTAGAGGAGGAGACGTGGCATTCTATTCTAGTGATGAGAGCATCGGGAAAGTGGCCAGAAATCCTGGTCAGGAGGACTCTCGGGGTCGGTTAGGGGTAATGCCCCCACCCCGACAGATATTTACTGAGCATCTACCGTGACAGGCTCTCTTCCAGGCACTGGGGTTTCAGGGTCAGAGTGAACAAAGTTCTACCCTCAGAGCTTCTACAGCAGGAGACAGACAAGAGGTAAACAGACAGCACATTAGAAATGGCATAGATAATAAGATATAGAGGGGCTGGACAGGGGCACAGTGGACCACAAAGCTATGCAAAACTGACCCACACGGGAAGGTTCTGGGTTCATGTCTGGAGACATCCCTGAACACACAGGCACACTCATTCCCGCCACTGGGACTTGCTGAAGCTGGGCTGGATCACACTACAAAGCCCCTGTTGGGGGAACTTCTCTCTCTCACTTGTTCACTCATGGAAGAAATATGTAAAGAAAAAAAAAAGATATAAAGAGGGCCAGCAAGTGGATTCACAGTTGAAAGTCTAGATCCCACTTGGCTGACACCAGTTCAAGTCCCAGACCCAGGAGCCTGAAAAGCATGCCAGGGTGTATGCGCTCAAGATCCCAAGAGCAGAATGGAGAAGAAGGGACTGCAGGGTAGCCATACCCCCCAGAGGGTGATTTCTCATTGTCCCTCTCTCTCTGTGTCTCTGTCTCTGGTGAGTGCATGCACCCTACAACGAAAAAAAAAAATCTTTAAAAAAAAAAATATATATATACATGTGTATATAAAAAATATATATACACACACACACACACACACACATACACATGCATATAAAGGGGAGCTAGGAGAGACTGCTGTTTCACACAGTGGTTAGAGAGGACCTCACCAAAGAAGACGTTTGAGCAGAGACATGGATGTGAAGAGAAAGCCATGCAGGTGTCTAGCGATGGAGGTCCCAGGTAGAAAAGGAACAGAGGCTATGCTGGGTGTGCACTTGGCATATCCCAGGAACTGCAACAAGCTCAGTAAACCCAGCTGAGAAGAGAGAAAGGGAGACAGCAGAGATAACATCATTGTTGGGTGATGGGAAGCTGCTGAGGTTTGGAGCCTCAGGTATTACTTATTATTTAAAAATATATATATTTATTAAATTTTAGTCATTTCTTGAGAGATATTTTTGCTATAGGGCATGTGCGCTCACCCGAGAGACAGAGAAACAGACCAGAACTCAAATCATGGTTGCCTACATGGGAATTCAGTGACGTAACCATTATGCCATTTGCTGGTCCCCATTATTATTATTATTATTATTTAAAGAATTATTTTACTTAACTTTATTTATTTATTTCAGTTTGACCAGAGAGGGACAGAGCAAGAGAGGAAAAGAGAGAGAAAATGAGAAAGCAAGCCACTAAGTCCAGGACTCGAACCACGGTCAGGTCATATGGGAGTGTAATGCTCTTAACCGCCACACCATTTGCTGATCCCTTATTATTATTATTTGTCAATCTAACCAGAGAGAGACACAGGGACAGAGAGAGAAGGGGAAAGTGAGAAAGCAAGCTGCCAGGTCCAGGACTCAAACCGTGGTTAGCCATGTGGGAGTCCAGTGCCTCAACCACCCTGCCACCTGCTGCCCCCAACCTTTCAGGCTTTAAAAGGATGAGTGCATCCTGGTAAGAGCCATTGTTGTTTTGTTTTTTTCAAACCAATAACCAGGAAGGAATTACGACAGATTATATTACCACTTTTGAAGTCATCACGTTTTCTCAACGACAGAAACTTAAAACATACACAAGGTATTCCCCAAAGAGACCGCTTCCACAAGGACCGCACCTCATAGCTGCAATGGCCCCGGAACTGTGGCCGATGATGATGGTCTTCTCGTCACAGTGCAGCTCTGTCTCCATGAAGGGCAGCCAGATGCTCTCTCGAGCTGTAACTGAGGTTCAGGGTAAAGAAAGTCTGTGTCATTTGATAGGGACAGTCTCAGTCTGCCCCACCTTTCTAACAGACCAAGGGGACAGGGCTGTTTGATAGATTTAAATCTATAGCTTTGATAAATAGTTTTGCTTTTCTTTCTTTTTTTTTTTTACCATGTTCTTGTAAGAAAATACTGAGGAAATAATAATATGCAACTTTGAAGTTTCAATTAAACTGTCAAATTAAAAATAAAATCCTGACAACCCTCTCTTACTTTACATATGTGTATATTCTTTCTTTGCAAAAAGGGGATTTCTGAGGCAAGTCATAAACAGACCCAGAACAGAAGTGGCAATATTACATTTTTTAAATATTAGGATCTCCAACAGATGGTGGAAAGTTTTATCACATCACTGCCTCAAATGGAACACCCACAAATGTTGCTGGAAAATAGCTACAGATTGATAAAGGGGAAATCAAGGTGCTTGCAAAGTTGAAAATTAAATTTTACCAAGTCCATGTGCTTTTTGGATGCTTGCTAAAATGGTTCGTGTTTTTTGGTTTACACCCTCCTCCCAACACCTGCCTCATTCATTCTTTTTTTTTTTGAAAGAAATGTTTGCTATAGGACATGTACGCTAGCAAGAGAGACAGAAATGAGAAACTACCCCCAGAAAGGATGGTCACACCGCAATCCCTTCTCCATTCTCCTCTAGGGATTTTGGGCTCACATATGCACACACATGGCATGAGTTTTAAGCCACAAGGGGAAGGACTCAAACCACAGTTGTCTACGTGGGAGTTCAGCACCTTAACCACTATGCTATCTGCTGGCCCCACTGCCATTTTCACGCTTAGGTGTATATTCATCTTTGGCTTCTCTACTATGATATTCCTATTCTCTACCATAAAGTGATGGAGATCAAAGCCCAATAAGATGCAACTACTGCATTTGAAAACAAGTTAGAACTTACTTGGGTCAGGCATGTTTTTAGCCAAACACTGGAAACCAGGTATCTATGATATGAGGGGGGGAAAAAAAGCTATAATAAAGAGATTAATTACAACTAATACTTTGTTAATAAGAAATGAGACACCTGATAGGATCTTTATCAGTTTAGTGAGTATTTCTTGTATTATGAGATGAAGTGCATTAGGTGCTACAGGATTACATACAAATATACAATTCCTTATAAACTCTATCTGTAGTTCTTTGCGGGGACTTCAAAAACTTTGCAAAATGGAATTACAGTACAGGTTTCTTTCAGTGCAAAAAAAATAAATAAACTTTTTATCCTTGCATAGTTTTTTCATGATATACATTTTCCATAAACTTGCTTTTTAAAAGAACTATTTATTTTAATTTATTCTTTCTTTCATTTTACTTTGACCAGAGAGAGAGGGAAAGTGAGAAAGCAAGCCACCAGTTTTGGGACTCGAACCATGGTCAGCTATGTGGGAGTGTCCAGCGCCCTAACCACCACACCATCTGCTAGCCCCACATTTTCCATAAACTTTCTGAAGACCCTGGGTTTATGTAGTCAGTTCTATAGATCTCTTCAGAGAGATCTCCTTCTGCATCTCCACACCTGTAATTATCTCTGCAGGCATGGACCCAAAGAGAGAGCATGAACGAATGCAGACTGTACCAGGAAGAAGGTAAAAGGTGGTAGAGAAACACAGTACAGACGTGTGGATAGCCCATGTCCTTGGACAGCTCCAGCTCAGACCTCCCGGTTTGTAGCTCTGGTCAGGATTTTCAACCACAACCCTGAAATTCTACTCATGATCTATTCTGCTGAACGTATTTACTGTATTAAATTTCAACCTCAAGTGTCTTCTAGAGGTCAGCCCAGGAAGCAGTCTTATTACTGGGTTATGGAAGACAGTTACAAAAGAGGTTTAAGATGCTCAGGATAATTCATGTAGGGTAGGAAACCAATTCTCCAAAGCTCACAAAGAAGACAAATTAAGCAACATATTGTTTGCAGTATACATACATATATTCGAAAATTAAAGAAAAACAAATAAAAAGCACAAATTTCAGGAGGCAAAAACCACAAATTTCAGGATGGTAAGGGGATGGGACGAGGGCACATGTACAGGTTATTTCGAAGAGACTGGCAATGCTCTAAATCTTAGATTGGTGATTGACTCGCTATATTATGCTTCATACATATATTAAATATATTAAATACTACGGATTGATCTTTTTTTTTTTTTAATCTGAAGCAGGGAGCAATGAAGATAAGCGAAAAATTATTTGAAGTCTCCGATCTGAATAGGCAGCGGAAAAGGGGTGAGGGTCGGGGGGCTAGGGACTCCCACTTCTGTGGTTCTGAGTGGTAATGACTGAGCCTTCAGAGACGTTCTCCCGGCTGTTTCACCAACAGATATTTCGACCCCTACTTCTGGAGTTTAACAGGGCCAGGAGGGAAGAGGACAGAAACACACTGGACTTTGCTGTAGGCGCGATGGGCACACCTTCAAACTTTGGTCCCGTCCCTACCCCCACCCCAGGGCTGACTTCCCAGGGCAGCGGGGGTGTTCTCTTACCTTCTCCAGCCCCTTCTTCACCCAGCCATACCAGCCGTGAGTAGCCACGTCCCCGCCTCCGTTCCCAGGAACAATCACTGCCTTGCTAGGAGAAGCCATAAGTGCAGAGGCGACGATACCCCAGCAGCAGGTCCTGCGATGCTCCGAGCCAACACTGTATCCGGCCGGGAGCCTGCACCGTGGCATCCTGGGATTTGTAGTTCCCGGGCGCCAACAGGACATTCCGTCGAGCTCACATCACCTTTCCCTTGCTTCTGATTGCAGATCTCCTTCCTCCCTCCCCCTTATTTAGGACAGGCTGTGACAGACCCAGTGTGTGATCTCTTTATTAGACTGATTGATATTGCTAGGGAAAGTGTGTTTTTAGTTCCAAATATGCAGAACTCTTTGTACCTGGGAACTCTCAAAATTTGTATTCTTTTTCTTTGTGATTTTATAACAGTTCTTAGTAAAATACTATGAGCCCTGGTTACCTTTTTTTTTTTTGCTATACATTCTGTCTTTGTGTGTGTGTGTGTGAGAGAGAGAGAGAGAGAGAGAGGGAGGGAGGGAGAGCGCACATGCACCCAAGATGGTCACATAGCAATCCCTTCTTTATTTCTCCTTTCAGGATTTTGGGCTTGTACACACTTGGGTCCAGAATGTTTTTCTAGCCACAAGTCCAGGACTCAAATTGTATAGCTGACCATGTGAAATTCAGATACCTTAACCCCCATACCACCTTATGGCCACAGTTACTGTCTCCATTGTTTTGCCTTCTCCAGAATGTGAAATAGATGGAATAATTCTACACATGTGGACTTTCATATTTGCTTCTTCACTTAATAATATGCATTTAAATTTCTTCCATGTTTTCTCATGCTTTGATAGCTCATTTCTTTTTAGTGCTGAACAACATTTCATTGTCTACATGTAGTACAGTTCATGTACTCACCTATTTAAAAATATATTGGTGGCTCCCAAGTTTTGGCAAATTATAAATAAAGTTGCTATAAGCCTCCATGTGCGGTTATTATGTGGACATAAGTTTTTAATTCATTTGGGTAAATAACCAAAAGAGTGATGGCTGGATCATCTTGTAAGAACATATATGAAGTTTTGCAAGAAATTATCATACATTTTTTCAAGGAGTCTGTACCATTTTGCATTCTCACAGCAATGAACAAGAATTCTTTGGCATTTGATGTTGTCAGTGCCTTTCTGTCTTTGTGTGTGTGTGTGTGTGTGTGTGAGAGAGAGAGAGAGAGAGGGAGGGAGAGAGAGCGCACATGCACCCACCAGAGAGAGAGAGAGATAATAACACCACCCATCATGGGGGAATGATCATGCCACAATCCTTTCTCCTCCATTTCTTCCTCCTTTCAGAATCTTAGGCACACACACACCCACACCTGGTATATTTCTCAAGTTACTGATCCAGGACTCCAACAGCTGTAGGCCATGTGGGAGCCAACTGCTTTAACAACCACAGCACCCACCAGCTGGCCCAATGCTGTCTTTTTAAAGGATATTATAATTAGTATAAGGCACATGGATAGCATTCATAGTTAAACCAATTTAGAGACTGGAGAAGCTGAAATATCACTGAGATGATTCTCCTAGTATAATATGTCAGTCCTGAAATCTCAGGAACTGATAATATCCTATAGGTATACCCAAACCTTGCTGAATAAAAGTGAGTGAAAATGTGCATGTGCAATGACTATAAATGGCAATAAACAGGAAAATGCCTCATTTTTCCTTACCTGTTCTTGGATGGGCTTACTGTATACACCAGGCATGATTTAGTGCTTGATGTTGAGAAACTCTATTAAGAGTGCAGTTTTGAGACACACAGTAGATCAATGATACACTGCCCTACCACCACGGTCTTCAGCAAGAACAAGACACATCCTTTCTTTTCCTCTTAAATCTAGACTCTAAATTTTCTTTAACAGATCAATGTTATTGAACTTCAAGTGTAAACTTATGCACTGGAGGGGTCTTCAAAAAGTTCACACAAAGTTTATGTAAAATGTATGCAAGGAATTAAAAAATTGTTTGCACCAAAACAAACTTGCACTATCTTCTTATAACACAACTGAATAGGGTCTGATTTGAGGCACTAAGAAAGATAAAATATCAGATTGGAAAGAGCTCCCATTACAGCAACACAAAATCTGCTAAAATTAAAGTAAGCACAAATACCAAATTTGTAGTGAAGCTTGGGTGGAAAAATAGTAAAATCACTGATGCTTCAGGAAAAGTATAGGGGCAATGCCTCAAAGAAATCAGCAGATAAGGCCCAGCAGGTGGCATGGTGGTTAACATGCTGCACTCCCACAGGGCCAACCGTGGTTCAAGTCCTGGACCTGGCAGCTGTTTTCTCATGTTCTCTATATCTCGCTGGTGAGCACACATGTCCTATAGAAATTTTGAAAATAATAATTAATAAAATTAAATAAGTCTTTAAAAATGCTAGTTTTAAAAAAGAAATCAGCAGATAAGAAATATGTAACTCATTTTTTGTTTTGTTTTTAGTTTTTTGTTTTGTTTTGTTTTGTTTTGGTCATAGGTTACATGTGCTCATCTAAGAGAGAAAGAAAGAGAGAGAAAGTGAGAAATCACCTCCCAGGGAAGATGGCCATGCTGCAATCCCTTCTCCTTCATTCTCCTCTTGGGATTTTGGACATGCAAGTGCCCAGGTTGTTTTCAAGCCACCTGATCTGAGACTTGAATTGCAGAGTTGGCCATGTGGAACCACGATGCCAACTGCTGGCCCTGGATAACTTGTTTTAAGAAGAAACAAGATGATGTTAAAGATGATACACACAATGGCAGACCACCTACATCAATTTTCAAGGGCAAGTTTGGTATTATTTGTGTCCTAACTAAAGAGGGCTGATGATTAACAGGAGAAAGGACAGCCAACGCCAAAGACCTCCACGAACTCAGTTTACACAATCCTTACTGAAAAAATTAAAGTCGATCAAACTTTCTGCTCGATAGGTGCCAAAACAGTTGTGTTCAGATCAGCCCACATGAGAGTAGGCTTTCAATGGAAATTTTAAACAAGTGTAATCAAGACCCTGAAAGATGGGTACTAGAAGGTGGCATGGTAGTTAAGGTGCTGGATACTCCCACATGGTCAACCATGGTTCAAGTCCTGGACCTGGTGGCTTGCTTTCTCTGTCTGTCTGTCTGTCTCTGGCCAAATTAAAATAAATGAATGAATAAATAAAATTTCTTAAAAAAGATCCTGAAAGAATTGTAACAGGAGATCACACATAGCTTTCCAGGACAACTCTGAAGACAAAGCACAAAGCAATGGCTACTAGGACGTGGCAGTGGTCCAGTCAAACCAAAGGTCATGGCAATGGTTTTTCGGGATGGCATTTTGTTGACTTTCTGGAAGGCCAAGGAACAATAATGTGTGCTTATTATCAGAGTACTTTTGAGAAAATTAGCCAAATGTTTTTTGAGAGGTTTTCGCTATAGGGCGTGTCACTCGCCAGACAGACAGAGAGAGACAGAGACAGAAAGTGAGAAATCACCCCCCAGGGGGGATGGTCACGCCGCAATCCCTTCTCCTCCATTCTCCTCTCGGGATCTTGGGCACACACGCACACGCGCCTGGCATGAGTTTTAAGCCACCGGGTCCGGGACGCGAACCACGGTCGACTACGTGGGAATCCAGAGACATAGCTATTACGCTAACTGCTGGTTCCCAAAATTAGCCAAATCTTTAGCAGAAAGATTTGGTGATGATAAGTCATCACCAAAATGGTTTCTAAAATGCACACAGAAATGATCAAAGAGGATTCAGCTGTGGAAGCATGGACTTTAGGGTCAGACCAAGCCAGATTTTAATCTCAGGTGTGCCATTTACAGATCTGGACTTTGGCATTTTAAAAACCTCTCTGAGCCTCAGTTTTCTCATTTGTAAATGGAGCTAATTATATCTATCTATCAGGGATGTTTATGAGGATTAGATAATATATATTAATTAATATACATTATATGGTATATATGTGTGTGTGTGTGTATATATATATATATATATATATATATACACCTACCCACTTATATGGGTTCATACTTAGTTCATAATAAAAAATAATTGGTATTATTAATAGCTAAAGGAAAGAATATTTAGCTAATAGATATATAATTTTTTAATTTATGTAATTTTATTTATTAATGTTATTATTATTTAAATTTGCTATATGGCATATGTGCTCACCAAAAAGAAACAGAGAGAGAGAGGGAAAGTGGGATAGCAAGCTACCAGCTCCGGAATTCGAACTGCAGTTGGCTATGTGAGAGTCCAGTGCCTTTACCACCACTCCACTGCTCACCTTTACACATATAAATTTTAATAGCTAGAAAGTCCCACAGAGGTTATTTTGTCAAATCTTCCAAAAATAAGGATAATCATGTTAATGAATTATGGTTCTGTCTTATGATTTTTTTTTTGTTAAGTATAATTTGTTTGTAATAAAATTGATTGGGGAAAACAAAAGCTTAGGGTAATTACCAGACATGAGAATGAGATTACATCTGTATTTTTCTACAGTTTTGTGACTTTCTTGAAAAATGTATCCAATATTTCCTGGTATATCTTTGAATAAGATATAAGGATCAGGCCCGCTGGTGGCACAGTGGCTGGGCCAGCTGGATCTTACATAGTACTGTGTGGCTCAAATTCTGGATCCAGTGTACAGGCAAAGCTTGGGTACATATGTGCTCAAAGTCCCGACAGGATGGAGAAGTGGAGGAGAAGGAATTGCACCAAGCCATGGAGGATGTTTCTTCCCCTCCCTCTTTTCCTGCCTCTCTCAGGGATGCACACAATTAAAAATAATAATATATGCTGCTTAGTGTACCTCAATTGTATTTCAGTAAAGCCATTTACACTTTAAAAATAAAACAAGCAACCAGAGGCTGGCCAGCAGGTGGCATGGTGGTTAAGGCACTGGACTCCCAAATGGCTGATGGCAGTTCAAGCCCCAGACCAGGTGGTTTGAAACTCACACTGGGTACTTGTATATGCATGCCCCAAATCCTGAAAACAGAATAGAGGAGAAGTGATTGTAGTGTGGCCGTCCCTCCCTGGGGGATGATTTTTTCACTTTTCTTGCCTCTCTGTCTCTCTCTGCCTCTCTCCAGGGAGTGCATACACCCTATAGCAAAATAAGTAAATAAACAAACAAGCAAACAAAAAATAA